GTGTGTGTGGGGGGGGTAGCACGGGCATGAAGCGTGGGTGAGGTGCCAGGGGGGGGGAGCTAGGGTGTGAGTGTGGGCGGGACGCTGGGGTGCTGCCGTGCAGGTGGTTAGCTGAGAGATCCTAAGGACCCCTCGGCCAACGCCCCATGAGGCGTCACGTTTCACTGCGCAGAAGCACACGCCCGCGCGCAGCACCGGGCAGCCCCCGCCCCGCTCCGGCAGCTGCCGCGCCCCGTCCCCCAAGCACACACCCCCTACCCACCCGCGCTGGGGCGGTCGCAGGGGTCAAAGGCCAGCAGCCGCCGCAGCAGCGCGAGCGCCTTCACATCTGCCCTGGGGAAGGCTGCCTCCCAGTTGACCCCCGGCTTCCGCCGCATGTTGGCCAGGAAGCGCCGCGCCTTCTCGTTGCGGACCTGACAGGCGCGGCGGTCGGGGTAGCGGTCGGGGTTGCGGTTGGGGTTGTGTTTGGGGTCGTGTTTGGGGTTGGGGTGGTGGGTTTCAGCACGGCCACGGACATGTAAGCGCACACGCGTACACGCGCGCGCGCGCACACACTTGCACACACATGCACACACATGCACATGCACACACACCCGCACACTGCCCCCCCACCTTTGCTATGACCTCTGGCGGGGGTGTGCCTAGCAGGTCAGTGATGAGCTCCAGCTGGTGCACCACGTTGCGCCCCGGGAACAGCGGCTTGCCCAGCAGCACCTGCGCACGCACACACACACACACAGGCAGACAGAGGGACAAAGATTGAGAGACAGACAAAGGCGCGCGCCGCCGCCGAAACCGCCGCGGCGCCAATCAGTCGGGATCTGCTCACGATCGAGGCCTAGAGCAAAGCTGCCGCGCAGCCGCCGCCCAAACACGCGGCCCCCAGTTGCCACCACCGCGCGGGCGCCGCGCGGGGCGGCGCCAGGGGCGCCGAGGGCAGGCGGAATCGCGGGGGGGCGGGGGGCAAGCAGAGGCAGGAGCCGGGCGGCCGCGCGGGCGCGCACCTCTGCAAAGATGCAGCCGACAGACCAGGTGTCTATTGAGGGGGAGTACTTGGCGAAGAAGCTGCCGCACAGTTCCGGCGCCCTTTGGGGGGATCGGGGGATGGCGGAGGGTGTGGTGTGTGTGTGTGTGTTGGGG